GGGGCCATCGGTCCCTTTATTTTCTTCTCATATATATATTTTTGTCCAACCTCTCATCTAGGTGGGTGTGCAGACACAACAATGTGTGTATAAAATTGGGATTGGCTTTGACAGTACAGTGCCAAAGCGGCTCATAACCTGGTGACAAAGGCTGCAGCACTGAGAAGCCAACAAACAAAAAAGCTACTGACATACAAAATTTAAAAGAAGAGGAAAAAAGAAATAAAACAAACAGGCTGAAAAAAAAGAAAACGAAAAGAGGAGAAAAACGAAAAAGAAAAAAAAAAAGCCTGTTAGTAGATCAAGGTCTGTTCGTTGACCTTTAGGAGCGTTTTCCGGACGAGTCTAATAGGGTGCCACGTCCTGGCCCCAGAGTCCATCGTTTGTTTGTCTTCCCTTGGGACCTCCTTGCTCTGCTTCCCTGCCGCTCCATTGCACGCCCCCAGTGTTTTGTCTCAGTGTGGTGGGGTCAGCTCAGTCGCTCATCCCACACTGTGTCTCTGGTGCTGTCCCGTGCAGGGCCACGGGTCAGTGCAGAATCTTTTTATTTGGAATGGGCGCAAAAAATGCAGCTCTTCAATACCTATAAAAACCCATTGCTATTGAATCAATTCGGACTTATAACAAACGGGTTTCTGAGACTGTTAGTTCTCTGTGGACATAGAAAGTCTTTCTCCCATGGAGCTGCTGGTGGTTTCAAACTGCTGACCTTGCAGTTAGTAGCCCCTATAGGTAATTCTAAAACTCTAAAAACCCAAGGTAAAAGCCAGTGAGTTAATTCTCACTCATGCTGACCTTGTAGGACAGAATAGAGCTGCTTCATTGTTTCTAACGTTATAAATCTTTAGGGAAGTAGATTACCGCATCTTCCTATCATGGAGTGACCGGTGTGCTTCACCAACAAATCTTTTCTGTTAGCGGCCTAATATTTAACCCGCTGTGCCACCAGGGCTTCTCGTTGTTCTAACTCACTGCCATCTACTACATGCTGACTCATAGTGACCCCTGAGGGGTTTCCAAGACTGTAATTTTACAGGAGTGGAAAGCCCATGCTTTCTCTCGCAAAGCTGCTAATGGTTTCGAACTGCAGCTCACCAGGATCGCAGGCCAGTGCGTAACCACTATGCCACCACGACTCATATGCACATCTTTCATAATAAAGGATGACTGGGCTTGCTATTTAATTCTATCCGCTACAGAGGGTGAATGTACCTCGCAAATTGTTAAACGGGCTACTAAACTGATGCTTAGTTCAACTGTGGACAGTTGCTAGAAGACTGAATTCTGCAGAAATCAGATTTCCCGAAATTCGAGGTCCAGGTAGACGCGGCTGCCATCTAGCCGATTCCAACCTCACACAACAGAGCAGAACTGCCCCCAGCAAACAGCAAGGTCAGCGGTTCAGGCCCCTCATATTCTATGGGGAAACTATATATTTTTTATTTTTCTTGGACAGTGGTTTTGATTTTAATTTCTATGGAGAAAAACTGCCGCATCCCTTTCTCAGAGAGCGGGCCACCTGCAGAGAGACCAAGCTGCACGAAATCTCGCGCCGGAGCTCGCGAGCTGGCGGAGGAAGCGCGAAACCTCGCGAGACGACCGCGTTTTCCCGCGAACGAGAAGCGCGCGTTTTTCCTCGGCCAGAAGCTCGGGTCGGGTGTTCCCCGTGAGGAGTGAGCGCGCGCCGTCGCTGGCGCCGAGACGAGGGGACCCGGTTCCCGGGGGCCCGGCACCGCGTCCAGCCATGCCAGCCGAACAGCCCGCGAGCAGCGGCGGCGGTGAGTGAGGCGAGCCTCCCTCCCGGCGCGGCGGCGTCCCGGCCGGGGGCAGCATGGACGCTGCCGCCGCGGAGCTTGGGGGAGGGAGCCCAGCCCGGGCGGGACTGAGGAGGAGCGGGGTCCGACGTTGGGGAAGGGTGCGTGGAGGGCTCCCGGGACGCGCACGTCCTTGCACGGCAGAGAAGATTCCCCACGAGGCAGCTGCATTTCCCCAAGTTGTAACCTGGGGTCCGGGCAACCTATTGGTGGGGCGCATGCGGGTCCGAGCAGGGATGCGGGCGCCCCGGTCCGGTGTGTCCGGCCCGGGCAAGGGAGTGGTGGGGTTTGGTTTCCCCCCGAACCGCGAGTTCGAACGCCTGGTGTCCCCTTAGACGCCTTAGCGTCCGACGGGGTTGCGCAGCCCGACGCGGCGGTGATCACCCCGGCCATGCTGGAAGAGGAGGAACAGCTGGAGGCTGCGGGGCTGGAGAGGGAGCAGAAGATGCTGGAAAAGGTAACTGACAAATCACGGCCGCGCGGGGTTCGAGCGACGGGGACGCGAAGGCTTCGCAGAGGTGTCATTTGAGCTCTGCTTTGTGGTGTAGCAGCCTTTGAAAAGAAACTTGAAAACGGCCCTACTTATTTCAGGGCTTACAGACACTACTGTGGAAGCACCTTAATGCGGGCTTCAATTGACCTTCGAGGGCGACCTTTTGACACGCCCAGAATGGATCGGTTCCCATTTTTAAGAGCAATGCAAAAGACCCCTTTAGCCATTATAATCGTTTCCAAATTGGTCCTGGATGCTTTCCTTTGTCACCCTAATTTCCTTTAAAATACCTGCAATATCCATCCGTAAGCCTAGTGGCTGGTCTTCCTTCTGACCACCCTTCCTCAGAATGCCGTCAGCGGGGTGGAAGCCAGCTCCACTCAAAGCCGGGGCTGGACTCCAAGCCTGCCTGTCTGCCTTCGAGGGGAGGGCTGTATTTCATTCTCAGTGAGCCACTTGCTTTTTGAAAAGTCTCTTGGCCAATAAGGTTCTTAAGCTAAAAGTGTGTACTTTTTCATTGACAAGTTGTAGTGTCTTTGTAGAGAATATCGGTTTTGTGGTCTACCAGAAAGTTTGTGCTTAGTAAAATAGAGAGGCAGTGGAAAAGGAGACCCTGGACCACAGCGACCAGATGGACTGACACAGCTGCTGCAGTGGTGGGCTCAAACAGCATGGTGAGGATGGTGCAGGGCTGTATGCATGGGGGCTAGGAGTCCGACGACATCTAATTCAAACCACAGAAACAGTGTTAGCCCTCTGGCAGATCGAATTCATGGTAAGAATATTCTGCAGCCTACCCTATTGCAGCAAGAGACTAATAAGTCGAGGCAATTCACTGAAATGTGGGCGTTTCCACTTTGAACTAATGAGGCTCTGCAGGAGAACCAGACCTAGCGATCTACTCCTGGGAAGGTTGCAGCTTAGGAAACCTTGTGGGCAAGTGACACCTGTGTCATGTATAGGAGGCTATAGCAAAATTCATGATCTTTTCATTACATTTTTTCCCATGAACATTTCCCCTCACTAGAGTCACTTGGAATCTAAAGCATAAAAAATGATAGCCTGCTCTTGTGTACTACCTATTAAGTGATTTACTTGTGTTTGTTTAGCCCTCCGAATAAAAAAGAGTATGACTGTACTTGTGTTTACAATCAAAGAAACCGGCAGTTAGTTGCATTCACACACTAATGTCTGGACTCTGATTCGAGAACATGCTGTCTCTAGTATTTCTGTTTTTAAATTTTATGAGTTTTATAAATTATTTTGTCATCTTGCAGTGTCTGACATCTCCCTTCAACCAATTTTCTGTTGTTCCCCCCCAGGGGAGAGGTTATATGTATTTGCAGATCCTTGTAATCGGTTCCCCCTTTCTACCCCACCTTTCCTCCACCCTCCCGGTATCGCCACTCTCACCACTGGTCCTGAAGGGATCATCCACCCTGGATTCTCTGTTTCCAGTTCCTATCTGTACCAGTGTACATCCTCTGGTCTAGCCAGATTTGTAAGGTAGAATTGGGATCATGATAGTGGGGTGGGGGTGGGGGGGCAGGGCGAGGAAGCATTTAGGAACTAGAGGAAAGTTGTATGTTTCATCCTTGCGACATTGCACCCTGACTGGTTTGTCCCCTCCCTGTGACCCACCCCTAAGAGGATGTCCAATTGCCTACAGGTGGGCTTTGGGTCTCCACCCCTCTCATTCACAATGATACGATTTTTCTTTGATGCCTGATACCTCGTGATCACACAGGCTGGTGTGCTTCTTCCTTGTGGGCTTTGTTGCTTCTGAGATAGATGGCTGCTTGTTTACCCTCAATCCTTTAAGTCCCCAGACACTATATCTTTTGATAGCAGGGCACCATCAGCTTTCTTCACCACATTTGCTTATTCACCTGCTTTGTTTTCAGCAGCTATGTCGGGAAGATGAGCATCATGGAATGTCAGTTTGGTAGAACAAAGTGTTCTTGCATTGAGGGAGTACTTGAGTGGAGGCCCAATGTCCATCTGCTACCTTAATACTAAACCCATATATATATATGCACATAGATCTATTTCCTCACCCTCATAAAAGCATATTTACGTATATACATGCCTTTATTTAGACCTCTATATATGCCCTTTGCCTACTAGCTCTTTCCTCTATTTCCTTTTACTTGAGGAAAAGTTAATTTAGAGAAGTATTTACCTTGTTTTCGGAGATTTTAAGGTTTCAAGAGCTAGGAGAATGATTTTGACCTTCGTTTGCTAGTTATTTATTTTTACTTTTTTACCCCTATTTCCTTTTAAAAGAAGTCATTGTTAGTGTAAAAGGTTTCGGTTGAGTGTTGGTAGTGGGTTTGTAGTGGGGGAGGGAGAAAGTGGACCAGAGGGGTTTTATGGAGAGGCAAAAGGAATGATTGTGGCTGAAACAAAATGAACTGATGTTTTTCTTCCAAGAACTGTAAGAGGTAAGTGTTGTTTGTTCCCCACAAATCTGGGGTGGTTGGGAAAGACAGAGTGGGGTAGACAGTGGGGCTCCCTGCCAGGCACTCAGTTCTTTGGGGTTGGAGATGGCAGTGTTTTTTTTAAATAGCATAATTACTAAGTAAGAGAAATGATAACATAGGAAGATTTACTGCAAAATGCTTTTGAAATATCGAAGACTAATAAAGATTAACCAACCATTGGCCTTGTATTTCCCTCGTTATATTGTAAATTAGTTTTTCCTGGTAGCATCTTAACATTTTAATTATTTACTAACTTATCCTCAATAGGATTTAAGGTAGCAGCTGTATCTGAAGCTCCAGAATACGTAGGGCTTGTAAACAAACACGAAGGCCCTGGTGGCACAGGGATGGGTGCATGGCTGCCAAGGAAAGAACCCATCAGCGCCTGCTGGGGAGAGACGTGGCCGTTTCCTGGCTGTGAGATGCCCAGCCTGGGAATCCCGATGGCGCACCTTCTTTGCCCTAAAGGCTCATTATGAGTCAACACAAGTGTAAAACCTAAGAATCTATTTCTTAAAAGTCTAGTTTTTAATTTCCCTTTTTATAATCCTTACATCCCTCATGGGCTGTGTTACAATCACAATATGGCAGCAGTAAAAGAAAATCTGAAAGTGGAATTTGAGAAAGTTCTAACAGACTGGGAGAGATCAAAATCATATATAATTAGTGGTCATTTATGAATGTATAAATATATATATATATCTATGAGTTGGAACTGGCTCAACAGCAACTGACAACATATATAACAGATTTTATATATCAATTTACATAAATTGTACATTAAGTTTATATATTAAAACGAATGTATACTTATGTTATAAAATTTAAATTGTTATATATAATTTTCTTATAATGAGCATGTGTTGACATTAGATTTAGTCCCACATACTTTATTCTTGTCATTGCTTTTGCAATAGGAAAGAGATTTATTTCAAAAGAATAGAGATGATATAATATCGAAGGAAACAAATGCCAATATATACTGTTGTCTAAGTTACATGATCAAGTGTTAGAGCACTTAAGTTAATTCGTTTATGCCGAGTCTTAGGTATTCTGATAGGCTGGAACAGCAAAACATCATGTTGTCATTAGTAAGATGCTGGGGCATTCTGTAGAATATAGAAATGAATCTGTAATCCTGCTTTCACATCAGTCTTAAACTTAGAGCCAGTTGGAAACTGCTAAGTATTGTGCAGGAAGAAGGGCAGTTAAATGGTTTGGTATAATTGAAAAAAAACAAACCAGAATACTGGTAATTTGCCCCTAAATAGTTGGATAACTTGGATACATTTTCCTATACTCATGATTCTTAATTGCTTAGGGCAGCATTGCAGAATGCAAGGTCTGCCACAGTAACTGACCAAATTCTGAACTCTGCTCTTCCTGTCTTTTAGACATACTGGATATCCTCTAATTCCTGGATTCTTTACTGATTTTCCGATCTTTGTGATACTTGGGATTTTCCAGGATTTATATTCTATATAGCACTATTTACTACGAAACTACATGCTTTTCAGTGTTGGTTGTGTTTAGTTTGGTGCTGACAGCTATGGTATTAAGTGGACAGCCGGTAAAAATTCAGTGTGGATTTGAGACTGAAAGTACATGTTTGCTGATTGACTATAGACTGGGTTAGTGTGAAGGAATTATCATTAAAAAAATAATCTGGATTAAACATCTGTAGTAGAAGTTGTTACGTGCCATCGAGTCAGTTCTGACTCATAGGGACCCTGTATGTACAGCAGAGTGAAAGACTGCCCGGCTCTGCGTCATCCTCAAAATTGTTCTTTATATATTTTTCTTTTTTTTTTTCTTTTTTAACATTTTATTAGGGGCTCATACAACTGTTATCCCAATCCATACACACATCAGTTGTGTAAAGCGCATTTGTACATCGTTTCTCAAAACATTTTCTCTCCATTTAAACCCCCGATATTAGGTCCTCAT